TCATCTGCCCTAGGCTCAGCTTGCTTCTTGCTTAATCTCCTAGTGAATATTAAAAAATAGATATACTTGTAGCACTGGAAAATCCTCTTTCAGAGTTGTTTCAGCACTGCAGAGAACAACCCTTAGGAAAGAAACTCAAAGAACGAGCGGCAGCTGCTGCCATGTTTCCCACCTCCTTTCTTGCCCAGTTTGTGGAAACCCGGTGCACCACCGACTCCCTTTCCCATCCGTTCGTGGCATTTCCCTGCCTGGTCCCAAGGCCGTAAAGCCATGGGATGTCTACACCAGGCCGAGATGCTGCGTGTTGGAAACCCGTTGTGCTGCAGCTTCACCCATGTTGCCTGAGTGTCTGCTTGGAGCTTTGTTCGGGTATACTGAAGTTGCATCAGGGGGAAGTTTAGATTGGATATTAGGAAAAATTTCGTTACTGAAAGAGTTGTGAAGCGTTGGAAGAGGCTGCCCAGGGAAGAGGTGGAGTCACCATCCCTGGAGTTGTTCAAAAAATGTGTAGATATGGCACTTGAAGACGTGGTTTAGTAGACATGGTGGTGTTGGGTTGACAGTTGGACTTGATGATCTTAGAGGTCTTTTCCAACCTTAATGATTCTGTGATCTGTATCAGGGCAGACGTGTGGTCGGTGGTCTCCAAGACTTCTTCCAGAGCAGCTTCCCTGCCCTTTGCTATGGATGGTACCACCAAGGGGTGAGCTTGGGCTTCCCACGTGGCAGCCCGAGGAAGCTGCATGTGTGGTGGAGAAACAGGCAGACGCGGGATGTGGCATTTCTGAGTGTATGGGGTGATTGGAGGGGTTGCGGTCGTGCCATGGAGGTGTGCCAAACCCCAGCAGGTATGCAGCAGCGCATGTTCTGGGCTGGGTGGAAAGGTGCCTCGGTCACGTCAAGACTTGGATTAATTGACTTGCGGTGTTATTAATATGTTGAACCTCGCCTCTCAGCTGCTCACAAAGACCCAGTGTTTGATTTTTTTGGACCCTGAAGTCATCTTGAGCTGATGCGGGCTTCGTTATGAATGAAACTTCTGTGTCCCTGGCGCGGTGGTGGGTGTCCCTCTCCTGTCTCCTGAGCAGTGCTGCTGGCTTGTCCTCCTTCACCTGTTAGAGCTGCTAACCCACCCGTCTGCATCCTCTTGGGTTGATAGCTTGAGTGGCTCAAAATATGGCAGAGAGGATGGATGATGCCATGGGCTCTGGGGTCACCTGTGCCGTGGGCGGGTGGGCTGGGTGGTCATGAGGGTGCACAGACCCCTGGGGTGCCGGGGCAGATCCAGCGGGATCGCGCTGTCTGGAATTGGAGTGATGAGTATGGGAGGAGGAGGAGGAGCGGGAAAGTATAAATAAAGCTTCTGGAAGGGGAAAATCCACCAAAAGGAGAAAATAGCAGTGCTGGTTTATTCTTTCCTCGCCCTCCCTCGTACCTCTCGGCTTGTATCGTCTTTTAACCGTGTCGGTGGGTGCGCTCCGGTTTCTGCACGCGTGTGTGACTGCCCTGCCCTGGGGGCATGGGGAACGGAATTTGGTGCTTCCGTGCCACCCTCCAAGTCATCCTATCCTCATGCAGCGCTGCCCTAGACCTGCTCAGCTTGGCTGGCAAAGCAGAACATCGGTGGCCAGGGTGCACCAAACCAAAAATGACATTTAGGCCAAGCAACGCTGATGCTGCTGACCTCAGGAATAGACCTGGAAAACCCTGTTTTGAGCCCAGAAGTGACGTTCTGCCAGTTAGGTTGTGTTATTCCAGAGCTGATGCATAAGAAGACCAAAGTTTTAATAGCAAATAATTGCTATTGCATTTAAAACATGCACTGAGTGTTTACAGTTTGAGTGGACGATGGTCAGACGGAGCAGTGCTCGCTCCCGAGCACCAGCCTGGTGTCTCCCAGCCTGAGCGCTGGAGCTGGGCAGAGCCATGCTGCCGGCCGGGCTGCGGTGCCCGCTGCGCTGCTGCTCATCCCCACCGCAATTCTGATCCCTGGGCAGCCCAAAAGCCTTAGATCACTCAAAACATTTGTCAGTGAAATGTTGATCTGTCTTTGTCCAATGTTTATTTTTGCAGAAATCTAGAAGTATTGCTTATTAACTGTGTTTTTTTCCTTCCTTTCCTCCTAGGATCCTGCAGGAATCTTTGAACTGGTGGAGCTTGTTGGCAATGGTACCTACGGGCAGGTCTATAAGGTAAGGGCTGCACTTGAAGTCATCCCGCTTGCCTCGGCCGTGTGTTGAACATGGAACATCCCAGCACATCAGCTGGGTTGGTTTGGACCCATTTCAAGCCTGACAAGAAACCTTGCAGAACTCTGGCTGTTTGGTCTTGTATGCGAGTACCGTGCAGTACACAGAGCTCTTATAATAGGCAATTCATTTTAGTTCTGAAACCGTCACTAAAAAATAAACCACCTATTTTTTTTTTCCTTCCTCTCCCCCCAGTTGCTTTTTTATTGATTATATGATGAGGAGGGAGTGAAAAGTCTGCGCTTTAATAGATAAATCTCGATCTCTTCTAAGAGCTGAGTTTATGGCTGCGATAGGCTGCCAAATGAGTTTGCTACAGTCTGCTGCTCTGCTCGCAGGCTGGCTGGCTGCTGCCCTTTCCACGGCAGAACCCTGCTCCAGGAGAGAAAACGCAACAGTCAGCAGGCTCGCTTTAAATTTCTATAAACATCTGGAAGCAGCTCTCCAGATGAGAAGGGTGAGGGGACTGTGGAGAACAGAATTTTGAAACTCATGAACTTCTTTACAGAAAGGTTTGAAATGTCCGCCCTCCGCGAAATGACATCACCTGCCCCAAACACCGCTTAGCTCGGGGGATTGCCAGAGTTTGGCGTCTTGCCGGGGTCTTTTTGGGGATGGTTCTTGTGGGCTTGAGGAGATATGGGATAATTTAAAAGCCAGAGTTCATCTACTCTTAACACGTTGGTGGGGAGATGTTTCTCAGCACGCTTGCATGAGGAATTTGCTAAATAGTTGGAGTCTTTGGGGAGGCAATGGCTCCCATGGGCCTCGTTCTCCAAAAACTTCTGTATGCATGGGCATGAATTCTGTGCATGGGTGTACTCTGTGTGTGTGCACAGAGACCCTGTTTACCTGTCAGGCCCATGCTCTCTATTGACTACAGAGGAGAGTAGATCCACGTGCTCTTACTTGGTCGCGTGGAAGGCACAGCTCTTGCCTGTCATGCAGTGGAAGACAGTGAGCTGCCCCTGCTGAAGAGGAGAAAAGAAGGGTGCTTAAAAAGCTACCTGTCGGGAAATATTTGTTCTGAATTCTGGTTTCCTCATCCTCCCACTGCTGTAGGCTAATCCCGTCAGTACGAGGATGGAGGGATTGAAGCGAACTGAAAGTGAACTGGAACTTTTTGAGTTCCAAAAGTGTGGGTTTTTTTGAATTGGAAGAAGTTTAAAAAAAAAGAAAAAAGGCAAAAACAAAGGAGAAAAACAACCCCACACCAGAACTGTGCTTATCAAGGTCATATTCCGGGGAGCCTTCCCCTCTGGTATGGGTTGTTTTTCCACCGTGTGCTCCCCACTGCGGGAGCTCCCTTCTGAACTGTTTTTCTTCTCAGCTGCTAAAATAATGGTAGAGGGTGACCTAATTTTAACCGGTGTGTATTTCTAACAATCAGTGGAAACTATGTGCCTTTTCACGGCTTGTGAGAGCGTGGTGTTTTTGTGGAGAGCAGTGAAGGGAAGTCAGCTGGCTGGTGCTGGCACTGCTGGTCGCACGGCTCTGCCAGGCGGGTTTTCTCTTGCTGTGTTTGATTCTCTTGGTGCGTCTGTGTGTTACCTCAGAGTGGGGAAAAACCCCCCAGAAACGTCCAAGTGTAGGCTTTCCAGGAGGAGAACGCTTCTGTGTTCCTTTTTTCTCCCGCTTTACAAGAAAAAATTCTCTTATTAACTGTTTTTAGCTTGCTGGAGTAATTGGATTGTCCTTGGTGTGATTCACATGGTACCGGTGCCAGACGGGATGGTGACGGGTGGGGGGAACGCTGCTGTCCAGAGCAAATGAGTAAGTGTTGAGGTATGAGTTCAGGCTTAGACTGACTTCAGAGCTCTCTTAAACTAAGTCTTGGAGTAGCACCCGCTCTATAAACAGAAGGAGACTTTGATATAAAGCATACATAACTGTTTACAGTGTCCCACCCTAAAACTAGCATGGAAATAGATCTCTGCGATACTTTTCCTCCAGATACCACCGCTGTATTTATCTCTTGCAGCAAAACAAATGGATCAACTTTCATGACACACAGACCTTCTGGCTCCCTTCTAAAACAGCTGTTAGACATGGTCCATACCTTGGAGAGTGTCCTCTGTAATTAGATGCTTGTTCCACCGCCACTTCAAACCCATCTCTGGTGGGGCTGGGGTTTTCCCACCCCTACCCGAGGTGCACCATCGCTGTCCTCTTAGAGGCTCTGTGTGTCTTTAGTTGTATTGTCAGATGCAGAATGAGGAATTCATTGTGATGCCTGCTCTGGTGCTGGCTTCCGGGCCTGGGCTTTGTGGGTCCAACCCCTGCGGTCTCCTGGTGAGCATCACCTCCCCTGACATGGCTGGTCCTTCTCTGCAGTGAGCAGAGCAGCTCTCCGGCTGGGAAGAGGCAGGAGTGAGATCCTTATTCCAGGCAGAGGAGAGCGAGGAGCGGCTGAAGGAACTGGGGCTGTTTAGTCAGGAGAAGAGGAGGCTGAGGGGGGACCTTATTGCTCTCTACAACTACCTGAAAGGAGGTTGTAGTGAGGTGGGTGTTGGTCTCTTCTCCCAGGTAACCAGCGATAGGAGGAGAGGCAATGGCCTCAAGTTGCATCAGGGGAGGTTTAGATTGGATATTAGGAAAAATTTCTTCACTGAGAGAATTGGTCAGACATTGGGACAGGCTGCCCAGGGAGGCGGTGGAGTCCCCATCCCTGGAGGTGTTCAAAAAATGTGTAGATGTGGCACTTCAGTATATGGTTTAGTAGGAATGGTGGTGTTGGGTGGGTGGTTGGACTCAATGATCTTAGAGGTCTTTTCCAACCTGTGATTCTATGGTCTTATGCTTGTGTGCTGCAAGACTGCCAAAACAGGACTGCATCCCTGATGTTTCCCCCAGAAAACCTGATTTAGCAGCCAGCTCCAATGCTGCCACGTAGCCATATCTGTGTTGGAGACAGTGGGCATCCTGGGGGTGAATGGCTGGCCTGCCCAAGACCCCAAGGGACAAGTGCGAGGTGCAAACATCCCGTCGATCCCATGGGATGAAGCGCATGGTGACATTGTTCTGACGACTGAATGATACCGCAGCCCGATGGGGTGGGGAGCCGGGGAAATGTCTGGTAGTACCACAGTAACGGGAGCCATCGGAGAGCAGTGGTTTGTGGAGCCGGCCTCGGGATCTGCTGGGCTGGAGAGGTTGGGGAGCCCCTGCCTTCCCCTTGCTCGTAGGAGAAAAGACATGTTGGCGAAGTCTGGTGCGGATTCAGGGCTCCCAAAGGGCGCGCATCCCTGTGCCGCAGCCGGGGTGCTGGGGTGAAGCTCGCTGTGCTGGTAGCCTGGATCCCGCTTTCTGGGTCATGACTTGAAGATCCCTTTCAGGTGGCACACGACGCCTCTGGAAATCAAAGCCTTGCTCTCCGAGGCTTGTGCTTTCGCGCCAAAGGCAACTTGTTGGATTGATCGCGGTGTTTTCAAGCACAGGCCTTTCTTTGCTCAGGACGGCAGGTCAGAACGCGGCTGTGGTGCTGCCCAGCTCTGGCCATACCCCAGGGACACCCTCGGCAGCAACCTGCTCTGCTCGCTCCCCTCCAACCCAACCACGAGCTCTTCACTTTGGGTAGCTGCAGAGAGGAGTAGCATTCCTTGTTCGCCGCTCAACAATCTCTTGTGAATAGCTTCATTTTTATTTTAACGAGGGACTGCGCTGGTGATGGTTTATCTCTCTAATTGAATCGGAAGCTTTTCTTTATTTTCTAATAATCCTGCATCTAATGTTACAGATTGTAGACTCTATTTGATAAAAGGCTGAGAGCTTGCTAGCTCCTCTGCCAGATGTTGTTGCAGCAAGGAATTTTAGTGTCCTTGGACTTTTTT